AAAAAAAAAAAAAAAAAAAAAAAACAAAACAAAAAACGGGCATGGTAACAGCCCCTGCCTGGCAGGACACACAACTGCCAGGAGGCCTAACCCATGAGGGAGGCACACGGTCCCCTGGCCAACTCTGCTTTGGCAGCTTCTAAGGAGGGCCAGAGCCAGCAGAGGGTTAAGCAAACCCCGGCGGTGATCATGTTTCTACACGTAGTCCAGTCGTAAACACTCAGGCTGATCTTTGATAGCGTGGCCCCCCCGAGTGGCCAGGGGCTGCAGCACTAATTACAGGAAGCTGTGAGTGCAGGGCAGCCACCCAGACGGGGCAGGCAGCCCTCACTCAGCAAGCGGGGTCTCCCACCAGGCACAGAACAGAGCCATGGAGCCAGCAAGTGAGCCCCGACCACCCTGGAGACCCAGCAGCCCGGGACAGGAAGCATGGGCTGCTGCTGGCTCCAACTCCTTCCCAGCTGGTTACATTCTCTGCTTTGGGCATTTAAGGCACAAGTAAGAACCCACAACTTTGCATTGAAAGCTAGACCCTCTAATGTCACCAGCTGTCCAGCAGGGGGTACTGAAGGCTGCAGGCCACCCCATTGGCAGGAAGGCCCAGGGAGCTCTACCCCGGGCACGGGCTACCTGTCACCTTTCAGTGGCTCCACCCGGTTGTCCTTTGGGACAGCGTCAACCAAAAGCAAAACACACCAATAAAAAGAGTTTTCCTTTCATAAGTTGAGTCAAGAGAAAGGCCATGACGTGCCTGGTGACAAAGCAGAGACAAGTTGGCTCTGCCCTGGCTCTGCAGCCGCACTCTGCCTTCCTGGCCCCTGCCACGAAACCCAGCGACAGCCACTGGCCACGTGAGCCTGTCTCAGCATCCTGGCCCGGCTGGCCACAGCGCCACACAACACACCCAACTGTGCTGAGGAGCTGCGCCCCAGGCCACCAAGGCTTGGGCTTCTTTTGGGACAGTGGGGCAGTGGTGGGGATACACAGGTCCGGGGTCTGAGCCCCTGCTCCCACACACACCCAGTATTCTGCTCCCGCCCCGTGGCCACAGCTTTTTAAAACCCTCCTTCGGAACTTTTTTTTTCCTCCTCTAAGTTAATGGGCAACACATTGTCCCAAAGAGAAACTCAGCATTTTGGACGGCTCTGGCGATGTACGCAGACAACCGAGGAATCTTCTCCTAGACTTGTCTGGGAAGGTGGGGGGGCAGGGGTGGGGCAGGGCAGAAGAAAACCTCAGATGTTAAGCGTTATCCAATTAAGCGTTAGCTAAACAGCCCAGAGATGAAATGTGGGGGCTGGGCAGTGCACTGTGGGAGAGGTGGGGCACGGGGACCTGGGGAGCCTCCTGGCCCAAGGGGACCAGGCACAGGGCAGCAGTTCTGTTCTCATCCTTCACCACTTCCCCTGTACCCCAAAAAGTGCCCTTTAGGGCAAAGGCTGCATTTTTCTCCACGGGTCCCCACCTTGGGTCCCCAGCTGTGCCCCGGGCCACGTCCCGCCATCCCAGGAGCCCGACCCCCCCACGCGGCGGCGTCTGTTACCTGACAACTGACACTGGCATCCAAAGGGAACCTCCGTCTGACCCTCACCCTGAGTCCCGTCGCCCGACACCGGGCGCGCGCTGCAGCAGGGCAGCGGGAAGCAGGGCGGGAGTGCGCCTAGGGCACGCAGAGGTGAAGTGATGACGGATGTGTGAGGGAGGGAGGAGGAGGCAGCTATAGGGGCCATCGCTGGCAGCTGGGCAGGCCTGCACGGCCCTGGAGAAAAAACAATAGAAAAGACTGGTCAGTCGGGCCCTGGACTGCACAAGGGACCTGGGGCGTGGGAAGGGCCCGGGGTGCAGGGCTGCAGGCCAGCCTTCGAGGGCAGGAGGCTGAGCAGGCTACAGGTGGTGGAGAAGGGGTCAGGGAAGTGATCAGAGGGCACTGGGGAGAGTCCTGCCTCCACAGCTGCCAAGTGGGACTGTCTGGGGCTGGGATCCCCACCTCTGGGGCCTCATGCAGGGGCTGGAGCACATGGGGACTGTCAGGGCCCCGCTCCCAGGAAAGACCCCCCCACCCATGAAGGGTCTTGTGGAGAGAACCGGAGCCGGCTCCAGTTGAGGATTTGTTCCCATAACTCTCGTCCACCCCTTCCTGGGACAGCTCCGAGCCACTGCTGTCTGCTACAGGAAGACGGGCTCTTTGGACAAATCAGCCTCCAGCCTGGCTGACGACCAGCTAGGGCCTCCTCCAGGCCCAGCCAGCAGTACCCAGGCCCCAATAACTCTTAGAAGGCTTCCCCCTCCTCCTCTCTCCACCGCCCCAAGGAAACGGCACTGCCCAGATCCCTCCAAATGTCTCCGTCCAGGCTGTGAGTCCTGCTCCCCCATGTGACAGAACAGCAGGGACGAGAGCCAGGCCAGGGCCCCATGGCTCGCCTAGGCTTCGGGCAAGGTCTGCGTTTGATTTGGCCGTTTATCTTACATGGCTAAGAGACCACCAGGGCAAAACATTTGTGTGAAGCCCTTGCCAAAACCACAAGTGAAGAAGCCCAAATTCCCTGGGTAAATAATTGAGCAGGGAAGCATCAGAGAGACAAAAAGAAAACATCAACAAGATGATGGGCAGCTGAGCCTGACAGGCTCCACCAAGGAGGCTCGCCCCTCACCTCCTGACACGGGTCTGCACGGGTGAGGATCTGCCCACCCCATGTGGCTGGGCAGGGCCCCCTTCCCCAGGAGAGCCACAGGGCCCTGCACACCCACTCTAAGCCAGAAGCTGTCAGTCTTCCACAGCTGAGCTTCCCAATACACCCTCAGAGGCAGACACTTGGGATGTCCCATGCTTGGACCAGGAAACAGGGGCCGGGGCTGCAGCAAACGGCAACAACCAGCAGCCAGCCCCACCAAAATCCTACAACCGGCTCCAAATCCAGGCCCATTTGTCTGTACCCCTGCTTCTCCAAAATATGAACCCAGCATCAGGGACATCAGGGCACTTGAGAAGTCTCCCAGCTTGCAGTTTGGGGGCTGTCGATGTCCTGCCAAGATGCCCAACACATCCAACCTCCGCACTGCTCAGGTCCCTCTGTGCCAGTGGAGGCTTTGTACTAGGCCAGCACAGGCACCCAGGTGTTTCCCAGCTGGCCAGAGCCTCAGACCTAGGGTGGCCCCAAGCAAGGTCAGCATCAGAGGCCTCCAAGTCACTGCCCCCCTATACGCCTACCCTGGCCAGTCCTTGTTGATGGCCCTGGCACTGGGCACTGTGCTTTTGGCCCTGTTCACTCCTGGCCTCAAACCCCTATGTGGTCCTCCTTTCACACCACAGAGGATTCTAGATCTGCATGGCTCTGTGCTGAGTACATCACACCCCCTTGCTCAGCAGGGAAGATCATCCCTGTTCAAGGGGAAACTGAGGCTCAGGCGCTACTGTAGATGTGACCTCAGCTGCCTCCAAAGCCTGGCCATGTTCTGCTTCCCTCGCCAGCTACAGCTGGGTGGAAGGACCAGGGCACCTCAGGGTCCTGAGCACAAGGACCAGGCCTCAGGTAGAGGAGCCTGTGTCCCTGCCTCAGTCCAGCCATTGGTGGCTGCAAAGGGCTCCTGGGTTCCGGGTGAGGCCACAGCCAAATTGCTAGCACTACACATCACAACTAAGAAGCCAGCAGGAGCCATTCCAGGGCCTGGCACTGGATGTCCCCAAGTACAAAGGGAGCTGCTCTGTTCCTGGTGGGAGGAAGGGCCAGGGAACAGGAAGGAACCGAAGGGCCTCTCACCACAGCCTTCTCCTAGAAAGAGCAACAATGAGGCCAGGCTGCGTCTGTGAAGGCAAGACCCACACCACACAGTGAGTGCTGCATGCGGGAAGAGGGGGCCTGCAGTTGGAGTGCAGACCTTGAAAACCTCCTGGTCCAGCGGACAACACAAAGCAGGCAGGGGAGGAGGGGGCAGCAGAAGCTCCACCCACAGGTGGGTTCCACAGAGCCTCTTCCGCAGCTGCTACAAAAGCCAAGAGCGATCAGAGAAGCCGCCCAGAGTCTGACTCCACAGACAGAAAACATCTAGAACAGTGACAGGGCCTGGGGACAGCAGGGAGCAAGGGCCCATGGGTACAGGGTTTCCTTGGGGGCTGATGAATTGGAACTAGGCAGTGCTGATAGCTGCATAACATTGTGAATATACTCAAAAGGGGAATATACTTAAAAGGGGGAAATTTATGTCATGCATATCTTAATTTTAAAAAACATCAAGAGCCAGGTATGATGGTTCACACCTGTAATCCCAGCTTTCTGGGAGGCTGAGGCAGGTAGACTGCAAATTCAATTCCAGTCTGAGCAATTTATTGATTTGGTGAGACTCTGTCTCAAAACTAAAAATTAAAAAGATAGGGCTGGGAATGTCAGGCAGGAAAATGGGCCTGGTTTCAATCTCCTAGTACCAGGATAGGTAGATAGACAGACAGATAGAATAATAAAAAGTGAGGATTTTGTCTCTGGGCCACAGCACACCTCCCAGCTAAACCCTTCACCTGGAGGGCATTTGCCTTTAAAAGTGGTGCAGGAAATCTAGAATGCAGGTGAGGAGCACCTGAGCCCCACAGGTAGTCCGGGCATCCAGACAGGCACGGAGGGACCAGCAGAGCTCAGAGGCAACGTGGCCACGGGGTGGGGGAGATGGGGGTCAGGCACAGAGAGGCTGTGAGCAAAGCCCTCCTGTGCCACTTCCTAAAGCAAGCGTCTTCTCAGAGCTGAGACCCTCACTCTTAAAGGGTCAGGGCCACCCCTAGCCAGAACCAGACACCTAGTAAACAGGGCTGCGATCCTTCATTCAGTCTCAGTTCTGGAACTTTCCTACACGGGTCCCTCAGCAGGCTCACTGCCTGGTAGGTGGGGTGTTCTCTGACAAAAGCTTGCTCGGCTGATGGAGACCCAAGATTCCAGCCCCAGCCTCACAGAAATAAGTAAAAATTAAAAACGCTTTCTGTTGAGGTCAACACGGGTGCCCCTCTGGAACCTCTTCCCCTTTTTCTGTTACTATGCTTCCAACATGTGGCGAGTATATTCGTCATGGGGAATGGGTACATATTCACGCTGCATCTTGATCTACAGAGACCGCTGAGCAGCGAGGTGGAAGCAGAAGGACAAAGACATCCTCCCTGCTGAGAGTGAAACCCCGGCTGTCTTGATTTCCTACCGCGGAAGTTCATTCATTAGGGAGAAAGAAATAAACAGCCGACATCTGTACATCTCCTGTAAACCCCGCGCCTTCCCGAGTGGTGGGCATAACGATCCCGTCCCAGTTGGGGAAACTGAGGCTCAGAAAGGCTGGAGAAGATGCCCAAGGCTAGCGGGTCAGGAGGTCAGAAGGTGCCTTCTTGCTGTTTTCTCTCT